GGTAGGAGAAGYCTCCCAGGAGAGGCAGTGAACAATATCCATGAGTTTCTCATGACCTTACGGAGATTGCCATGACAACACCGCTTCGATCCTCCAAACATGGATATATTCATTTGCACTGGTGTGATCGAGAATAATTAGAGTGAGATTCCCTGAGCCAGGGAGTCACAGCCGTGCACAGCTCTGGCAGCAGAGCCCAAGTTTCAAGGGAAGCAGCCTCAAATTTAAATGTAAAAAAGAAAACCGACAACACTCTTCGGAGCCGCGTGACCTAATTCATTATAAAGAATGTCAGTTAGCAAACCTTTTAAATAAAACATTAAGCTAGAGGTAATTTGAAGCCTTGTGGATTTTGTTTTACTCAATTATTTTCTAATGCTTCAACTTCAAGAATAAATATGCAGAAATCAAAAAAAAAAAAAAAGAGAGGAATACTAAGGGTTTCATTTAATTCTTTTTCAAAAGAAATGAAGACATTCATACTAAACCAAAATACCCTGAACCAAGCTGGATTTTTAATTAAAACTTTTATGTCCTACAAGATTCTTCAAGGTTATAATATCTGCTCCCACATCGTGAGGCAGCATCACGCTCACACAAGGACGAGCTCACTGYTCACGTTAGAACAACCTGTGCTGAGCATTGCCAGAACTTCCTTCCAAGGCACACACTCACAAATTAAACCAGGCTGGAATGCCATTTCTTGCCTGCCCCATAATTTCCATATCCACCTGCAATTTTTGCTCTGTTGGGAAGAGTTTCCCCCACAGCAGACAGAGGTGGGAGATGATCACGCCGGCCTCTGCTTTGGTTTTATTAAATCCTGGTGGTGAGAGCATGGCTGGAGAGAAGCAGGAAGGGATGGAAAACCTGGGGAAGGGCAGCAGAGGATAAAAGCCACTGCTGATAATCACAATCTAAAATTAGGTTAATTGGGAAAAGGGGGAAAACRGAGGGAATCACAGAATCCCAAAGGAATTTGGGTTGGAAGGGACCTTAAAGCCCATCCAGTGYCACCCCCTGCCAYRGGCAGGGACACTTTTCACTGTCCCAGAGTGCTCCAAGCCCTTTCCAGCCTGGCCTTGGACATTTCCAGGGATCCAGGGGCAGCCCCAGCTTCTCTGGAAGGAGCTCAATGAACATTGCACCTTCTTCTCTAAGAAATACTACAAACCAAAAAAAAGATACAGTCAAAAAGAGGCATCCTTTGAAGCAAAAAACAAAGTAAGTTTAGAGCTAAATATTTGATTTGATTTTGGCAGCATCACCCTTTTCCAGAGGATACCAGAAAGASATTTGCAGGAATGTGCTTAACGCCGCTCTGCTACGAAACATTCCGGAAACAAAGAAAACCCAGAAGATAAAAAGATTCCTTTCCGCCACACTGCTTAGAATAAAACACCTCCCTACTTTGATTCATCCTTCCTTGCCATCTTTAAAAAATGAAAAATTCAGCCTTTTCCTGTAATTCATCCAGGGATCTCCAGGCTCCACCGGGAGCGAGCGGGACCCCAGGAGATGCCAGGGAAGCACAGGGCACACTCACACAACCCCTCACTGCTCTCATTTTTATATCACAGCCACACCCTGGGGCCGCTTTCAGGGTGTTAAAAGTTCTCTGTGTCACCCAAATGAAGGATTTGGTGTCGGTGGAAGGTGTGAAGGGCGGAATTGAGGGCGCACATCGCACCCGCCCCGGGCGCTCCAACCCAGGGCTCCTTTTCCAGGCAGAAAAGTCGGGATAAATCCATTTCTCTGCAGCAGAGAATAAACAAGGATTAGTATTCACCCGTTCATAACAGGGAAACCCTGCAGCTAGAGGTGGAGTCAGGCAGGGCCGGAACATCCAGCCTAAGTTGCCTGACGAATGCTAACTACGACTTCCAGCTTATTTATCTAATTTGGGTTGATTTTTAAGTATTGAGTTATCTAACCAGACAAAGAAAGAGCCTGAAAATTTCCCCTGTTAGCAAAAACTCCCTGCCATTTTACGCCGCTCTAATTCAATCTACATGTCTGAATATTAGTGACTTTTCTCAATTGCATTTGTATTGAGAAATGCCTAAAAAAATTCAGGACAAATGCTTGGTTTTCTCRAAACGGTGTTAAGTGCCTGGAAAACGGGGTTCTACAGCAAATGAGCCTCGCCCAATCCAACTGCAATGCACAGCCTGAGAGTATTTTAGGCATTGACAATATTTATCAGGGTCTATTTTTGTCAATCAATCTATAACAAGAGCAGAACAGCCAATACCTATAGAACAACCCGCTCGATTCCAGTTTCTGCATGAGAAAGGGGCAGCTCTGCACTGCCAGTTTGTAACACACACAAAAAATAGATGGAGGAGGGATGAAGTCAGTGGCAAAATCCTCAATGGCTTCAGCCAGGCCAGGATTATCTCCAGGAATYGGTGCTGATGYCTGGAGARGCACCARGAKGATGCCAARGCTGGARAAAAGRAGGCTCGAGGAGATTTCACTGCTCTGAGAGGAGCTTGGAGCAAGGTGGGGAACAGGGACAGGATGGAACAGCCTCAGGCTGGGCCAGGGGAGGGGCAGGGGGGACATCAGCAGGAATTTCCTCCTGGAAAAGGTGGCCAGACCTAGGCAGGGGCTGCCCAGGGAGGTTTGGAGTGCCCATCCCTGGAGGGCTGGAGGTGGCACTGAGTGCTCTGGGCTGGGGACAAGGTGGGGATGGGTCACACTGGCTGGACTGGGGATCTCAGAGTTTTTTTCCAGCCCCAGTGATTATCCTGTGACTCTGGGAAGGCCGGGTGAGGCAGGACCACCCATCCCACCACCAGTGTCCAACCTCCCACCTTTCCTGCACATTCAGGGTGGTCTCACTGGTCCCAGTGACCCAGAGGCTGAACCTGGGGACCCCTGGGTGGGTCCATCCCTGTGAAATCCATCTCAGTCCCMTTCCCTGGAGCTGCTGCTCACATGGGGAGCGATGCTGAGCATCCCCACCCCACGGAACACGAGGCACCGCCACGTAATTCCAGAGAGCACCGAACAGCTGGGAATATCAGAGCCTGTAATCACCATCAGGCGGATTTGAAACGACCATCTAAGCATGAAAACCCTCCCTGGCCATCCCTGAACCCACGAGGTACAACACACTTCCCCCAACCCCAGCCCTGGTTTTAAAATTCAGCCTTTATCAGCTTGAGCTGAGCAAATCCAGTCAAAAGGCAGAAACGGATTGTGCTAGTAAGCAGAAAAACTGTTACATCTTCTGAATGTAATTTTGCCAAAAGCCTCTGCACAATTTTTTTTGTCACGCTTTGCATTATGAAGGAAATTTCTTTTTAGAAGAACAGGAGAATGATTTGCATAATATTCTTTGCAAGTTAATATCAGCCTCTGATAATGATCTCTGCATAATGCAAAAACGTTTGAGAAGACTGTTACAACACTAAGTAATCATATTTTAAATTATGTTTCCCTTTATAGAAAGGTGTTGCAAAAACACACAGACATGAAATCTGTCTGTTGAAGTCCCAAGAACCACCTGACCATCTTCCCACTATTCTACTGTTACAGATTGCAACACTGCCTTTCAAAATCTTACAAAACAAATTACGCTGCAACAGTCTGGCTTCACAGAAGGCAGAGCTTTTTCCTGTGCTGCTGCTCCAGCACATTACATTTCACAAGAGCCTCTGATGTGCTGCACGAGTTAAGCAAGGGCCCAGAAATGAAGCTGTAACACAATCAGATGGATTCTCCCATCTCGCACCGCTGCCAGGCAGGGATGGCAGCACCAGGGCATGTCCTGCTTGCTACCAGAGCCAGGGGATGTTGGTTGAGCTGGGTGATCACTGYTTTGGCCCAGCTGGCTGCAAAGCTGTGGATGGAGTGCAGGAATTGAGGTTGTGTGTCCAATTGTCCCCAAAATCTCTGCGAGGGACGAGTGCTGGATGCAGCCATGACATCCCTGCTCACGCCACAGCTCGTGGGTGATCAGAACAGAGCACAGAGCTCCAGGGGGAAGCTGTTGATGCAGCAGTGCCAGCAGCATCCCCCAGATGTGGGTGATTTCCCTCTGCCCGTCTCCAGCAGGGGATGTGGGTGGGAAACTCGTGCACTTGGATGTTAAATTGTTAATGTCACTAAAGCTGGACAATCACAGCCAAGCAGTTCAAAGCTGAGCTGACCTTCCCTGAGCTGCAAGGAACACACAGAGGGTGCTGGGATGGGTCTGGCATGAGGAGATGGAACCAGGAGTGGTAAAAGAGGCAAAGAAAGACACTTTGGGATCATTCTGTTCCCATCACACCAATGATGTAAATCTGATTTGGGGGAAGCGTGGAGCAGGATCCATGGGCTGGGCTGTGCCCTGTGCTGCAGGGTGAGAAGGAAACACCACAGCTCCCAAACAGCACAAATCCCCCAGGCACAGCCAGGGGAGGCTGCAGGAACGTGCTTCCAGTATGACTCTGGATGCTTCATTAATACATTGCAAATGAACTAAATCTAAAGCCCTCCAAGAATTATTTTTTTAGGTGGAAAAAAAAATGAACAAAACATGGGTTTCACTTCATGAAACCTGAAAGAGTAGCAGAGGTCACTGGAATATTTGGCTGCTTCAGATCACTTGCAAACCAACACGATGCCCCGTGGACATCACCAATGTAGCACCAGAACTGCCATGCAGTGCCACCACCAGTGTGTCCCAGAGGGTCACTGTCCCCAGCCCCTGCCCGTGGCACCCCCAGGAGCAGAGGAAAGCACGTCCAGCACAGCCAGTGCCACCCACGYTGTGACACAGCAGGGCATCGCTCAGCTGGATGGGGGTGGCTCTCATCCCACCCACAAAACAAAGACTAAAATTCAAATATCAAATCTGCACTGTGAAGGAAAGGAGAAAAGAGCCCCTGAGACATCAGTGTGAGCACTGTGGCAGTGCAGGGTCAGGGCCCAGCCCACCCCACTGCAATCAGCCCAGGATAATCCTCCAGCAATCCTCCACCCCATCCCACCTCTCCTTTTCATACCTTTTAAGCTCCTGGCTACACCTCATCCCAGTCTTCCTCAAACAGGTTTTCAAGCTTTGGGAAGTTGGGTTTTCCTTCCAAAACTGCCAGGAATTCTCTCCCTCCCTTCCCCAAACTGGCACACCCATCCATACTGGTGGGTGGCACCACCAGACACAATTTCCAAGCTCCCACCAGCTCCTGCRTGCCCAGATGTCACCTGGGGAGGTGACACCAAGAGGGAGAATTCCCAGGAGCCAGGGGACACCACACGTGCACGGGGACAGTGTGACGGTGTGGGAAGCGCCCCGGGAGCCGCCCCAACCAAATATTTCCATGGCTAATGCTGCACCTTGGGCTYCACACAACATTCCTGAGGCACGGGGAGGAGGTCAGGAGCAGGCTGTAGGGTGAGGAGGAGACAGCACAGCACCCAAACAGCACAAATCCCCCAGGGGAGGCTGCAGGAACGTGCTTCCAGTATGACTCGGGATGCTTCATAAACACATTGCAACTGAACTAAATCTAAAGCGCTCCAAGAATTTTTTTTGGGGGGGAAAAACCCCAACAAATCATGAGTTTCACTTTATGAAAGCTTCTGAAAGAGTAGCAGAGGTCACTGGAATATTTGGCTGTTTCAAATCACTTGCAAATCAAAACCATGCACCATGAACACCACCAGATCTCTGTATTTTGATGATGGTCAAGCAAAATAATTAATCTCCAAGCTCTGCCAAGCTGTGCTGGGGTGGCAGCCTGGACCAGACGAGCACAGGCTGCAGGTTCCCTTGGTTTCTCCACCCCCTCCAAGCTGTGCTGCCCTCCTGTCCCCCTGCAAAAAGTTAAATCCTCCCTCCTGCATCATTTCTGCTGCCAAATCCAGATCAGTCAGCAACTACTGCAGGATGCACCTCTCCTAAGGCACTCACAAACAAGGCAACRGCCAGTCTGGGATCTTAAAGCAAAGGTAAATGAGGAAACTTCCTAAATTTGATTGCAAAAATATTCATGAAGGCACCACGTGGCTCRGGCACCTCCAGCTGCCGTGCTAAAGCACCCACTGCTTCCCTCAGGGTGCCATGGACACTAAATCAGTGCTGCAAGAGGGAAGCAGAATTTGCCAGTGAACCCCAAAACCACTCAGAGACAAAGCTTTGAGCTGCTCTCATTGCCCAACCCCAGAGCAAACCAAAGCACTGCAAGAACACCGGGCTCAACAATCTACATTTTCACAGTTGCACAAAGAAACCAAACACCCAGCAGTCATCCGAAAGGCCAGTTATTAGATCACTGGAAATGAGTTGAAATGAAATTCCCAGAGGTTTTATTGCGCTGCTGAGATATTGATTCTGGTGTGCTTCTCGCTCAGCCTGCAGCACAGAAATGCACCGTGCTAGAAACCCCACCTGTGTGTGGGCTGGAAACACACACAGGGAACATCCAGGGATGCTTTTCCTYGCTCCCTCTYCCTCKGCCAGTGCACATCYATGAAACAAGCCAGGAATTCCATGRAATTTCCAGACTSTAATTCCTTTGCTCCATGCCAAGAGATGGAAGAGCTCACACACAGCAGGAGTGTGGCACACACTCCAGCTCCCAGTTCCATTCCTGGAGACATCACCTGGCTGCATCTCACAGAGCTTCTGGACCACACCTGCAGATAACCATGGGAACCCTCCAGCCTTCCTGCTCCCAGGAATCCCCTCCTTGTACAGGATCCTCATGGGATGCAGGATGGAAAGGCAAAGGCAGGATATTGTTGCTCTGGGAATGGTTTCCTCTCCCTTTCCCTAAGGCAGTTCAACTTGACCACCACGAACGCTGCTGGTTTCACCCAAAGGCACAAACCACCTTTATGGGGTGCCCCTGAGCCAGAGCACACCCCCAGCTGAGCAGGGACAAGGACAGGTCACACTCTGGCAAGGCCTCCCCCATTCCTGCCATTATTTTGGATCCTCACCCCAAATTCTCTCAGGTTCTAAATTCATGCAATGCCTCCACACAAAACAACACCACTGCAAACTATTCTTTTTCCCCACATCAAAAGGGAATTAAACAATTAAAGCCCAGGCTCTGCTGTGTGTGCAGAGCCCCTCCAGAGCTCCAAGGAAGCATTTCCAGGGCCCGGCTGCCCAGCGCCCGCGTCCCTGTGATGCGGTGCCAGCAGCACGCTCTGTGCTTCACGGCTCACTTGCCACGGCATGAACCCAGCCCCGGGAAACTGCCAGCGTGTTCTCCTGAGCCCTGCACATGTTTCAGCTCCACTGAGTTCCCTGGCCAGCCCACCACCACCACCACCATCCATCCATCCATCCATCCATCCCTCCCCTGCTTGCCTGGTAACACGTGGAGCGGGGAGAGCGGAGTGGCTGGGAGCTGGCAGCTCTGCAGCTTTCATGGATCTATTTAGCTTCTTTTCTTTAAAAAAAATAAATAAATAAATAAATAAGAATTCATGCTTGCAGCATAAACACAAGCTGGGCTGGTACTCCACTCCTCCCTCAGCGGGATGTGCTCATCCTTGGAGTTCCAGCTCAGCCAGACCCGGGGTGCATCACTGCCTGGACAGCAGCACAYGCACCCTCCCAAAAACCCCAAACCCCATCCCCATGCTGGCAAGGACAGTTTTGTTTTTTTCCCTAAAGGATCTGCCCTTCCCAATTTATCCAACATCCCACAGGAGGGGTCGCGTTCTTGGACAGCACAGGCAGAGCTCTGGAGGTGTCCAGGAGTGAGCGCACAGCTCGGACTGACCAGCACGGAGTGTTCTGGATCAGCTGGAGCCTGGGCCAGGCTGAGCACAGCCCATGGMCCTGCTGGAGCCGTGGCACAGATCCTGGGAGCGGTGTGGTGAGTCCAGAACCATGCTGGATTCACTGCCCAGCCTGGGAATTAGTCAATCCTCCTCTTTCGCCTGGGGAGGGTGGCTGGTCCCAATTCAAATGTTGTGTAAGCTGCAAAAGAGCCATTGAAAAAAAACCAAACCCAAACAGATAAATGCAGAAATACTGTTTTGGAGGAACTGAGGAAAGCTGAAGCAATAATGACAAATGATTCCTTGCTGCTCTCCATTCCCTTCCTCTGAGAGCTTTAAAAAGGCCTCGCACCGTCGTGCTCCGGCCCTGCTCACGTTACACCGGGATCAACCGGAGCAGAGCCCRGCTCGTGTCCTGCCCAAGGTCACGGTGACAGCCAGAGCCCAGCAGGAACCCAGCCTGGAGCTCCCCAGGGCTCTCCCCAGCCTCTGACCCTGGCATTCTTACACTCCCAGGCACGACCTGCCCGGTGGGGGAACAGAATTTGGGAGTGATGGAGTAACTAGGCTGGGTTTTTTTGGGCTCATTTCCATGGACACCACGCAGAAAATGAACAYAACCTTCCCAACTTCCACTTTTTTTCCAAGGCTTTTCTCTCTCCCTCCTTTTCTTCCCCCCAGTTCTTAAAATCCAATTATAGCACGACTCTCTCAGCAGGGGTCAGTGTGGAATAAGAATCGCCCGAGTTAATGGACATGAGACCAAGAAAGATTAATGCCTAAATGGTTTCAAAAGTTGTATGATGCCGATTTCATTAACATTTTAATTGTAATGTATCTTTTTAATCTTCTTTCACACTAATGGTTTTTATATGCTTCAAAAAAGAAAAAAAAAAACTGCTGACAACAAAAATATCAACATACCAAAATTAACAGACGGAACTGAGTGCTGTAATGGGAGCTGAATGAAATGCMGAAAACCATGTTAATGATGCATTAAGAGCAGAAACCGTGCTCAGACAAGAGTCAAAAATGCAGCCCCACACTTGCACGCCCTGACTTGGAACAGGGGCACCCTTCCCCAGGTGTTCAGGCTGAGTCTTCCAGAAGGGATGTGCTGTAGCAACAACCCCAGCAGCTCTACCAAATGCAGGGATTTATCCCCCAAAAAACGGTGCTGGAAATTAATCTAATTTAATTAGGGTGATAGAGAGGAGCAGCAGGTTCAGGTGATGCTGCTGTCCATCCCCTGCTCCAGGGAATGGCACTGCTGTGCCTGTCACTGCTCCCKGGGCTCAGGCTCCTCAGCCACAGCAGAATTCCCAGACAGGAAAGATGCTGTTGCCACCGCCGTGCAAAATTCTATTTTACTTAATTAGAAGACAATTAAACCTAAGCAATAATGTTTCATTAAGCATGGGCATGTATTGATGATGTTAGCATGGATAAACGGAGGCACAGAAGGAGCAGATAATTGCGGAGCAGGAAGATGAAGTTTCAAACAACTTTGGTTTGTAGAAATGAGAGAGGCGAGGCCACTGTCACCTGCCCTGTGGCTGGGCTGCAAAACCCCAGAGTTTTCCCTCACAGTCCATCAGAACTTCTTAGAAAGGTGCAGATCCAGAGGGATACAAAGGGATACAAAGCCTCCATGTGCCCATTAAGAAATCATAATCCCTGTGTTTGCCATGAGGATGTGATTCCAGCCACAGCAGCACGACCAAATAGCACATTTTCCTACTCATATTTGCTCCTTGGAAGTCACTGCAGATGCTGCAGTGCTGAGGGAGGTTTCCAGTGAAGGAAGGAGCACATACAGAGAGGGGCTACCCCTGCTGGTGGGAATTTCATCCCCTCAGCTCTGCACCCAGGATTAGAGGGTGTCTGCACTCCCACAGGGCAGCCAGGCTCATGCATCCCACTGAAGCCTCCCAGCACGCCCCATCTGCCTCTTCCCATGGAAAACAAGTCCTTTGATCYACCTTCAACCACACAAATCCTCACTCCCCATCTCCTCTAGGCACCTGGCTGTTACCAATTTGTCCATGTCCCATGTCACACTGGTGTAGCACCATCCCACCCAACTCAGGATGGCCAGAACACCACGACCCCTGTGCCACGCCACCACTGCCGAGTGAGGATCCACGTCCTCTCCAAACCCAATCCCGCTTTTCCCGACGCTTCATACAATCGGAGCGTAAATGTTTGTCCTATGACAGGGAGAGCTGGCATGTAAAACATGTCCCCCCACACAGAATGTATATATATATCCTGGGCTGCCATATGCTTCCCAGCGCAGAGCACGGCGCCTGTGGAGCGCAGCCAGCGCCGGCAYCGCACACAGGACCCTCCTCCACCCCAAAACACCAAAATCCAGCCCCAGACAGACCCCAAAGGATGGGGAACATCCTCCTGCTCTCCCCCAACCAGAACCCTCACAAGCGAGATGCTGCTGCGGGAAAAAGAGGAATTTTCTGCCGCTGTTTTAAGGAACGATGA